CATCTGTTCGGGTAGATCCTGCAACTCAAACCCAAAATGTTCTGTGGCCTCAATAAAGTCTTCATCACTGAGACGAAGGGGAGAGGCCAGCTTGTCTGGAAAGACCTCATACGGCCCTTATTCTTGGCCAGTCGTGTCTGAAACTCCCTGTGTCCTGGAGCTCCATTTTGTGGGTAGCTGGTCAAAGTCCCTGAGCCGAGTCTCTGTGCCAGTAACCAGAACCGTAGCATGCTGTTTGGGGTCAACTCTTGGGCAGCAGCTGCTGAGCCTTCAGAAAAACATTTGTCTTGGACTTCTCAGCTCAGACCTCATTCTGGCACTTGTCCTACTTAGGCCCGTTTCAGCCTCTGTGGTTGTCCAATTTCCAGGTTGAACAAGGACGCTATGTCACCGCTTCCTGACAGACTAAGATATTAAAGGTGAGGCATGAAACAGAAGAGCTTTTGCTGAGTGGCATCCGTGATGCCGGCGCAGCAGCGTTAGGTGCTACAGGGAGGCGGCAGCACCCAGGCGTGCACCCAACAGGTTTGCAGGAGCTGGAAGAGCCAGCGGGGGCAGGAGTAGCGCTAACGGTGTCCTACATACACGGGTTGTGGTGGTCCCCGAGGCCTGCCCAGAAGCGTTTGCAAGCATTACGGTTTCATCGTGCACAAATACCACCGGGGATAAGGTGAAGGTGGAAGGCTAGAGCAAGTATAGTACTTCAGCTTGATAGAGAAGAGCTCTGTTCTCTTCCCCCTTGTGTTTAACTGAGACTTCCCAGTATCTGTCAGTTTGTGGTGTTCCTGGTGGTTATTAATACCTCTGGTGACAGCTTCCAATTTTGCTGCATCGTTAGAAGAGTTCTCCTGGAAATCACAGGTGAATTGGCAGGTCTGAAGGGTTGACAGCTGTCAAAATATAGCTGCTAGCTGCAGTCATCTAAGCTCTCGCTCTTTCAGCACTAGTATAGAACATAGGATTGACAGCCTGGAGACTGAAACTGTTTCTTCACAGATTAGATAAAGCACACTGTGTGACAGGGCATGCTCCTCCGATGTGCAGAAGCATCTCCTGTCAACTATGGAGAGAGGGGAGTGGGGCCTTGGGGATTATAGCCATCCCTTTTGAGTGAAAAAGTTATGTGGTTGGGCATTGATATGTTAAAATACCAACAACCACCCATCTTTTCCAGCTGCAGGGAGCTGAATTACCCTTTCCCTATAGACTGGGAACTGAGGCAGGCAGCTTTTGTGTTCTCCCTGCTCCGATAGCTCTCACACAGGCTGCAAGTGACTAGGCCCAACGTTTCCTTATTCTTCCCCTTTGGAAAATCCTACTTACACGACTATCTGAGGGAGCACTTCATCCTTGCCCTGAGTTACCAGGAAGGCAGCTGAGTTTCAGTCTCTGATATTTGGCCTTCCCTGTGGAATAGATAAAAATGTAAGTAAGTCAGTGCTGCAGTAGCAGTTTTGGTAATACAGGATCCGCTCCCAGTGGAGCTCAAGCTGGTGCTACTGAACTCCTCATGGGTGTCTCCTAATTCCTCCTCGCTGACATCAAACTGGACAGAAACCGAACTAACTGCTCAAAAATTCCATCCTCGGTCACTCTCTCCTCCCAGACAAACCCATCTCTGTACACAACAAGAAGTTGATGGAAAGAAGCTTAAGTAGCTCTGGAAAACTTTTTCCCCATCCCAACAGTCACTATTTTGCAGCAAGAGAGCAAAAGCTAGTTATTTCCAACTGGAACTTTAAAGTATATTGACCCCAGCCGCCTGCTGAGTGCCTGTTCTTTAAATGCTGCTTCTTGAAAGTTTGCTTTAGTGTAATTAATGAAGGGCAGTATTATTCCTCCAGTAAGTGCCCTTACTTTAGTTTCCCTGCCTGTAACAGCCATGCAGGTGGGTGGCAGACCAGGAACAGAACCGCTGTCTCCTGCATCCCACTCCAGTGGTGGCTCCTTCCTGAAAACAGGAAATCACTTTAAGGATGTTATTGTTCTTGGGGGGAAAAAAGTATACAGTTTTGGCATCCATTAGATACAACCATATAAGTCTCCCTGTCTTGCCTTCCTTCCGTCAGGGCGGACAATTTTCCACTCCCTTTCCTCCCTCTAATGTGCAGGCAGAAGAAGCAGAGAAGAAGCAGAAATGAAGTCTGAATATTTAGCTGGGCTTTTTGACTTAGCCCTGCTTGTATTCTGAGAACCTCTCACAGCAAGTTCAACAGAGCCAGTGTTCCAAACAAAGCAAGCTCCCAACTTGGGATTTCCTGGGGAAAGTAAAGCTGTGCCGAGCTCGCAAACAACCTGTAGGTGCCCGGGCTGGAGCATTTGCCCCGGGGGGAATTAAAAATCAGATGACTTGTTCTGCCTGTGCACATTGGAGAAGAGGAAGATGTAAGAATGGGTGTGCGAGCAGCACGCGTGGCTGCGGAGGGGTCGGTTTTTACAGCTCTTGTCACTGAGACCTTTGGTGCCTCAGGGAGGGAAGGCCAGGCCTGGGGGCGGCTGGTCTTGCACCCCTTACCCCTCTGGCCATTTCAAAACAAAAATGGAGAGGGATTTCTTTCTTCCATCAGAAAAGCAATTGTAAGGGAACTAGTACTGCTGTTTTATCGGGGTAAACAGATGCTTTCTGCGCTTTGGAATCAGCCACTTTGTGTCCCCATTATCTTCTTTAAAACCCGCTCCCCTCCCCCCCGCCCCCCACTGCCAGGGGCTTTCTTAGGGATCTTCTTATCTAACCACAAAGCTCTTTGGATCAAGAAGTATACTGGATTGTTTAAAGGCTGGTGGAAAGATTGTGCTGCCAAGAAAGACTGCTCCTGCTTATAAATTTAGCAGCAGCCGTGGTGTTAGCACAGCTGGAATCAAAATTGCTGCAGCTGCTGATGGCTGAAGCTGGGCCTCTCCCCAGATAACCTTTGCTGTCTGGCCATTCTGGTCACTGAGGGTGTCTTCTCCACCCACCCCCAAATCTTTCTTACAAATACTTTCAGAATGAAATATTTTGAGGCAGCATACCTGGGTTGTTCAACATTTTAGCTGACTGTTTCCAAACTTCTTGCTAGGGCTGTTTGTTTGGCAATGCTGTACAGGATGAACTCCTATGGTTACTGCTGGTGATGACCAGAGCCAAGGAGATGATGGTTGTGGCTATGAGTGTTTCTGCCCAGTCCCTTGGCGTAGTCCCATAGGTACCAGTTTTAGTATGTCTGGGGATTTCACAGGTCTGTTTTTCACTAGATGGAAATCACGATTTTTGCTCAGTTAGCAGTTTCATTGCTAGCTAATGTGTCATTTTGTCTGGTTCCTCATTCTACATCTTAAATTTATGTCAAAACTTTATTTAATCTTTTGCCTGCTGCAGCCTGTCAAGACTAGCCAGCATGATTTTGACTTGAGGTGCGGTTGTGCAGCTGATTATTTAATCAGCTTTTTTAACTTTGTGAACACCATGTATCCAAAAATGGTTTGGTATGTGCTCTTTCACTGGAGATGAAGTTTACTGTATGTCCAAGAGCCCTTTAGCTTTCTTCCAGTTTTCTTAGCTGGCTATTAAATGTCTGTATGTGGTTAACTAACAAGGACACTAGCTAGTTCCTTTAATTATTTTGATCCTGTTTCTGTTTCATTTTGTGATGCTATGCAGCTGGCCTCTTGTCAGAGTTATTAAATTAGCCTCCTATAAAATGTTAATTTAACTGTGATATAGCAGATGAAAAGACACCAGACTTGGCAGGGTTTGGATGATGATGTTTGTGGATGTTTGTATGTAGTGCCTGAACCAAGTATGCACCAGCTGGTTAAAGTATGTTGATAAACTTTTGCTTTTCTGCAGCACTGTGATAAGAGTTGGGTCAGTTACTGTATGTTTCACTTAAGGTATTGAAATATTTTCCAAAAGTATCAGAGTGGTTTCAGCTGTGCTTTACAAGTGCAGAAAAATAGAGATATAACATGGTAATTTGAAAGTCATGGGCTAAAGGCAGTGGGGCTCCCTGCGTTTAGATCTTGCTGTAACCAGCGGTGCTCTGGTGTTGACGGTAGCAATGTTTTAAAGGTGGTCGGTATAAAATTGAACTGTATTAGTTTCCAGTAGCCGTTACTAATTTGGGATCTTTCATTTGATACCTAAAGTGATCAGCCTGATTCTGGAGGGCAAATACTCAGTACTTCCTAGAAACCGAGTTGCTCCGTGTTGCTCACATGTTACACTGTGCTTTAAAAAAAAAAAACAACCAAAATTATAAATAGAAATCACTTTTAATACTAACTTCTTGACAGTTAATAAAGACTTATTAAAATCCTGAATCTTTTTATGCAGGCTTGAAGAGGTGGAGTGCTCAGGATCATACATTTCTCTTCCAGTCCCACTGTGCCCTGTATTATTTATCATCTTTTAACTGAGACAAGCTTTTTGGAAGTATTCTGTTGTATGGATTTGGGCAAGAAGACCTTGTTAGAAATGTTCTTGAAACAGACATCATGAAACATAATTGTACACAGTGATAATTTGGTTTTGCTATTAACAAGATATGTCTTGCACATGAAAGTTGGTAGAGACACAAGCAGAGATGCGGTGTTTCATCGGCTTTTAGTTCTCTTGAGCTGAAGCGAAGGGAGGGACCCTTCTATATGATTTCATGTAAATGAGGGCTGCAGTGAGATTGGGTGGTCCTGGGTCATTGATTCTGGGAAGTGAAGAGACATGCAATTGGAAACAGCTGCCTCCTATTCTGCACAAAAAGCCTGAATCACCTGTGGCAAAGAGGCTGTATCTTAAAATGCCCAGGGAAATTGTAGTACAGTTCCATGGAATTAAGTAGGGTGTGAAACTTAATAAGTGGACAGTTTTGGCCATAAGGGCAAGTCATGGGTTTTTCTTGTGCAGCTGTCCCTGTGGGGAAAAATAGAATAATAATTATCAGTTGAGTTCAAAGTTAGTATTTATACAGCAAGTTGATAGGATAACTGTTCAAATATTTGGCACTTGCTTGTTTTCATTACAGGAATTGCAAAGCTCAGGAAGAGGACGCTTTCTACTGGAACATGCTGTTCCCTTCTCTGCTTTTTTGACGGACAGTTTTGGGCGTCAGCACAATTACTTGCGAATTTCTTTGACTGAGAAATGCAACCTCAGGTGTAAGTGTCTGCTTCCTTTCTTGCACAAAGCTTTTATGCACCATACTGTGCAAAGGCCAAGAATTGAGTTAGGGTATTTATTGCTGTGCTGGCCCTGTGCTGTTTCTTGCCTTCACAAAGTAATGGTAAAGGATAGATAGAGACTGGTTTGGGGCTGAGCTGCTGGTGGGATGGGGAAGCAGGAGCAAGCCTAGGGATCTGCCAGAGGCAGGTGGGAGTGGCAGGTCTTATATCAGACTTGGTGTGGTTTGGATGATGGTGCTTGTGGGTGTGTGTATGCCATACCCAAAGTGGGATAAGCATGAGAGCTCGCACCTAGGCATTCCCACAATTACGTCTGCAAAGTTTGTGGCAATGTCCCAGTGCTTGCCAGTTCAGTTTGATGTCTCTGTATGAATGCAAGTTAGATAGAAATAAGATCAGCTTTTCCTTCAAAGTGGATCCATTGTGATTTTGAGACCCATCAAATGAGTCTTGGGTTTTCTTTGAAGGAAACCAGGAGATTGTTAGGAGATGGCTTGTAAGATTTGGTGTATGAGCTTATCTGTATTTCAGACAAGCAGAGTCGTTTGACATCCATTAAAGACAGTTGCGCTTCGTGCATTTTGCCCATCAATATTAGATTAACTGCTGCTGGCTATGTTTTCCCCATGTATTTCTGCATTCTTTGTTTCAGGTCAGTATTGTATGCCAGAGGAAGGTGTTCAACTGACCCCTAAATCGGAGCTACTTACTGCTCAGGAGATAATCACCCTAGCCAGGCTGTTTGTGAAAGAAGGTGTAGAGAAGATCCGACTGACAGGAGGAGAGCCCCTTATCCGTCCTGATGTGGTTGATATTGTGGGTGAGTCCCCAATAAACAGAGTGTGTTTCAAAGTGACTTGCTATATATTGATCCAAGAACTATGCTTATAGTTATCTACTAATACAGTCCAGCAACCTGAAGGGTAACTATATGTTAAATGACAGTCCTTTTCCCCAGCATTGTGAAATGCAAGGATGCAAGGTAGTTCCCTTCAGAAAACTTCCAGTTCTGCTGTCCTGCTTGGATGGGACTTATGTCACTTCAAATTATAACAGTTGAACTTGGCATTGTCTTCATATTCAACATCTACTAGAAGAGCTTGCAATAATGCAGCCTTGGGATGAAAAATCAAGAATTGATCTGACCAGGTTCTCACTGGGGAGGAACAGTTGACATGCGCTTACAAACAAAGCAGGTTTTCTTTTGGATTTTGGGGGTGGGGGTGTTTTTGTGGTTTTGTTTTGTTTCCTTGATAACAGATGTCACTTGCTTTTCTGTGTGTAATAAGGAATGGTGGAAATGCTCATGTTTTTAAAGTTACTGATTAAGACTATTACTTCAATGGAAGATAAATTACTGGGTAGGTTTTAGAAGTCTGTCTCCTTCTATTGGCATTGTGTTTGCTGACTGCCTGTCTTTTTCTTGAGCCAGGTGATTTTTTTCCCTGTCCAAGGTCTCCTATGTTATGGACATTACAATAGCTTTGTGTAGTGGCAATGTATTAGATTAAGGCTATGTAGGTGGGTGCGCTTTGGTGTATTGTAGGCAACTGAACTTGTCTGTTTCTGCATGTGTACTCTTAGAAGTACTGAAGATAAGGAACAGATCATATGGAAGATTAAAGTGTCCTGGTTTTGGCTGGGATAGAGTTAATTTTCTTCATAGTAACTTGCATAGGGCTGTGTTTTGGATTCCGTACTAGAAGAATGTTTCAAGGTCTTGAAAGTAGAGTAGCTGCCTACTGATACCCTGAGCTTTGGTGCAGAAAACAGTTGGTTTCTGCTCCTGCTCTGTTTTGTTCAGGATTTGGAAGACCTTTATGGTCATTTGCAGCAGAGCAGTGTAGTATGTAGAACTGACCTGTTCATAGCTGGAAAAGGTGCGGCTAGAGTGAACTGGCTTGGGTCTCCTTGAACCTTGATTGTGAGGGGTCCTCAAACTGCACTAACTTCATCTTTTGGAACTCTGGAATACCATTCTCTAGGACATTATTCCCATGCATGATAGGTTATTGGTTTTTTTAGGATTGAGAGCACTATGTGCCTTTCAAGAGACCTGTTTCTTTCAAGATGGCATTCCCCATTTCTAGTAATGATAGGTATAATTATTTTTAGCTGGCTTTTGCCAGCCAAAACAGGGACAGATTTATAAAATAGGTTGTACTTTATAATAAAATAAAGCTTTACAGTTCAGCATATAGCGTTGGCATGAAAATGAGCTTAAATCAACATCATCAGTTCAGTACAGAGCTTTCTTTCCCAGTGTATGCACCTTTTTGATTTATCAGCGGTAGCTGATGGCTTTTTATACTCAGCACAGCTACTCTGATGTTAAGGGTGTAAGTTGAGCAGCCAGGTCACTGCAAAATAATTATCTCATTGCTGCGATTCTGAAGTGTTGATATTGGAAGGATAGAAAGCTTTTTCTGTTTGTTCATTTTACTGTGGTGATAGAATTCTCAAAGGTTTATTTCTGTGGCTGAAAGAGGGAGATGGATCTCTTTGAACCACTGGGCTTTCGTTATTCTGCCTGTGTTTTTCACAGCTGAACTTTGACAGATTCATAGTGATCATTTTAATGGATGACAAGAGAGTAGTGACCTCGGGGTAAAGATAATGGATGTTAAGACGATTGTCCTGTTGCATTAGTTCACTCTGTCATGAATTTGTATTAACCTGGCTGGTTTTTTTTTCTAAGGCATATTGAAAATTGGCAAATTAGGTCTATAAACACGTTTTGTCTTCTCAGACTTTGGTGTGACTCTATGGTACACAAGTTTGGGATCAAGGTGAAAGTCTCAAAACTAAATAGATCACATGCAACAACTATGGGAAAACTCACTGAAGGGAAAACAAGCCCAAAAATGTCTTCTGCAGAATTTGAGTTAGGCATCTTTACTGAAGCCATCTTAGAACAATGTACTGGTTTGGGCTGGGATAGAGTTAATCTGGATTTTTAGATGGTTTATAGCAGCTGGCTACAATATCTCTGATGCTGAATAGGCTTGAGATTTAAGTTAGGTTTGTTTTCAGAAAACCTCTTAGCCATTCGTGGTCTGTGAAATACCAATAAACCTCAAAAATATTAGTGCTGGATTACTATTACTGTATTTTTCTAATATTCAAGTTCAAACTTTTTTGTTATTTCAATAAAGAAATGTGATTTGATGCTACTGTAGGTGACCATGTTATTCAGACCTACTAGAGTTCTTTAGATTATTATGAATCTTCTTTTAATGTATGCACATACATAAACTATGACTCAGCGGCTAAGACTTGCTGAAAACTAAATCATGCCCTGAGGACTGCTGAAAAAGTATGTTTAAGACTTTTCTGAAGCAGCTGATATAGAATGGAATATAGTATCCATCTCCTTTGGGATACTCAAAGTTTAAATTAGCACTGGATACAAACTGTGTGATAGCTGTTTACTGTTAATAGTCTGAGAAGTACACATCTCCACTGACAAAATAATTTTCCATGCGGTGGGGGATGGAGGGTTGGATGACTTTTTATAGCCACATACACATTTTAAGAGTGAAGTGGTGCAGGGTAGACTTGTTAATTCATGTATTAGGACATACCCATACCTTTTCTGGACTCAATCAGGAGAAGGGCATTTGAGGAAACAATTGGAGGAGAATATGTAAGAAACTTGTCTATTTAAGAAGATGCTCCTGATCCTAAAGGAAAAAGTAAATGTGAAAGGGTTTACTCGATGGCTTGAGCCTGACATACAAGCTTTTAGCTTCATGCTATTGAATTATAGCATCTGTTCTGTTTCCTTTTCTACTTGATTGTTTTATCAATTGCCTTTTCTTGTCTGATTGTTCTAAAGCAGTGACCAAAGGTCAGCAAACAGACTTAATACAGGTCCAAGGTGAGTTACAAAGTTATGAAATCTCGCTAATCCCTTTTGAATTTAGAGGTCAACAAGCCAGGAAACCAAGCAACTGCAAATGTTCCACTTCTTAGCTTGCACAAATAAGGCAGAGGTGTACTAACTGGTCCTTTTTAACTTGTTGGTCTTAGTGCTAAGTCTCCATCTCTTTATCTCTTGCAGCTGGCTTCTATCCAACTTGTTATTACAGGTGCTTCTACATATTAGTGTATTTCCAGTGCCTCATCCTGTATCTCGTCCTGTCTGAGGAGGAAGAAGATGCATTAGTAACAGCTGCTGCCTGCAGTAACTGACCTTAACCAGCTGGTGCTACTTTTTTTAATGTTTTCCATTTTAGCCTGCAGCATGGCTTTGGTTTTATTCAATGCCTTCACGCATTTTGCATTTCTAGCAACGAAGCCGGTATGGCAGCTAGTCTTTTTTTTTTTTTCCTCTGTTGTTAGGAAGTTGAGCATTTTGTGTGTTCTGAGGCTGCAAATTAAAGTAGTGATGTTCCTATGCTACTCTCTGGGTGCAGTGTGTCCCCTACGCTCTCACAAAGACTAGGCTGCTAGTGGCAGCTAGTGTTAAGTAATTTTTTGGCAAACTCGGGCTGATAGAACTCCTCCTCTAGGAAGAGGTTATGCCTGGTCAGGAATTTTGAGAGGTGAATGCCAGAAAAATCTATTTCTTAGTAAAGATTGCTCTTTTGTTAGAGCCTCAGGTTCCAAATGTCTTTACAGGGCTCCTAATCATGTTGCAAAATGTGGCTGCTGTAAGCTTCAGCATCTTTGGTGTCACCTGGTTTGTCCCATTCCAGAGTTCTGGACCCAGCTTAGGGTGAATATTTTGAGAACAGCTGGAAATGAGATAAAACAGAAGTAAAGCCCTTATCATCATGAACAAATAGAGGTAAATAAGGAGGGAAGAAGGGACTAGGAAATATTTGTGCTGTAATTAAAGCTGCCTCAAGAGTAAGGGTTCTTCAAATATTTCTCAACTAATTAGGGTGGAGGCTATGAGAGAAGGGAGGATGGAAAATAAGTAAATTACTTTGCCGTGGCTCTGCTTCTGCATGTGGTTTATGTGGTTTTTTTCCTATTTGTTATTGTACCGATAACTGGAGGTTTGAAAAGCCTGCCCTCTGGAGATCTGGTATGCTGAGGATTTCTGCATTTGGCTTATGAGGAGGCAGCTATTTTCTAAGTCTTACTCTCATGATATTAACTGCTTCTTATGTGGTTTTCTTTTGCTAGCCATTTTTTAGTGTCTTGTGTAAGCCCTCTTCAATTAGCTGGGCTACCACTGTGGTGTCGAGTGCAAGTCTTTTGTCCCTTGGATTCTCTGTAATGGTCTAATATGTTGACCTTTTTCTGTTTAGTTAGGAGTATATGTGGTATTTTTTTCCGCAGTTTAAAGTCGCTACTGCTGGCAGCTACCTCTGGGTTAGAACTGGGTTTTGGTAAAGCATAGCAGGATAAATGTTGCTAGATAATCGCAGCTAGTTCAGGTGTCAGGTGTGAAAGGGATGGCTTGCAGCTTCTTAGTATTGCAAAACACAGAATTCCATTTGCAAAGCTAGCCTGAGGAAAAGAGGTAAACAAAATCTGAGGCCACCTTCCAACACTAAAGTAGCTGTTTAAGAGATGGAGAGCAAAATTAGTGTGCGTTTTCAGTGTTCTTTATAACCGATTTTGCTTGCAATAACTACTGTCTGTCATACGTTTTGCAATGGATTTGTGCTGAAATGGGTCTCTCAGCTGGAAGGAGGCTGAAGCGTCTATGTTTTCCTCACACCCTCAGTGGTATTTCTTTGTTTGCTTCACAAATCTTCTTTTGGATTTTATGTGTAACTTACAGTTGAATTACTTCTTTTAAAGTGTTCTTTTTACTTTTTGTTTTCCTAGGTCAACTGTACAAGCTAGAAGGGCTGAAAACCATTGCTGTCACAACCAATGGGATCAACTTAGCTAGATTGCTGCCCCGGCTGAAGGAGGCAGGACTGAATGCCATCAACATTAGCCTGGATACTTTGGTCCCAGCTAAATTTGAGTTCATTGTCCGAAGGAAAGGTACAGGCTTGTCTTCTAAGGCAACTGTGTTAATACTTGCAGTAATGTTGTGAGTTGTTTGGTGTGTTGTTCACACTCTGTTGTTTTGGGAGGGGAGTGAACTGCTATCCTTCTGAGGCTAGGAAAAGCAGTCTGTACTAGCTTATTTGATAGTGACTCTTTTCTCCTTCTTTCTACAACCCTTAGGCAGGTAGTGCCCCTTTAGTGGGAGCTGGTGGAATAGAGGATGCTCAACTCACCACATCCAAGACTGTGACTACAGCTGCCAGTAACTGGCTGATTACTGGTTAGACATGGATATCGAGACAACTCTCCAAATCTTGTTTTAGTCACGTGTGCTGCTGTTCTTTAATACTGTTCAAAACCCAGATGTTCCTGCTATATCAGCCAGGGACTAAGATGTCACGTGAACTGAACTTCTTGTCATGAATAGCGTCAGTTCCTGGAAGTTATATTTGGGGTGTGCTAGAAGTGGTCTCACGTGGGATTAGTGGTGTTTCCTACCTCCACTACTTTTTGGTAGGAATAAACAGAAATGGTGGCTGAGGACATCTGAGGAGGGGTGCTAGCTTTGTAAATTCTCTCCCATCGAGCTAGTAATTCCAAACGAAGTTTCAAAAATGCTTGGATGTGCCCAGTGTTACAGATTTCTTGTTTAAATGAATACTAAAGCTCATCATGAAGTTCAGCTTCGTGGTTGGGTTTCCTTCCAACTTAAAAATTATTTGATCTTGTATCATTCTATTTCTGTCCAGTAATGGAACTTTGGCAGCCTGTGAACTTCTAATTCAGACAAAACCTCCAAGCAGCCACTAGATGGTGCAAAAACGTAAGATAAATATAGGGCAAGGGCTGTAGCGATCTGGGATGCTGTGAGAAGTAATTTCAAGGTTTGAATCACTCCGCTATCAAATCGAAGTTCTGCTGACAGGTGCAGAAAGGTGTCCTTGTCTACAGTCTCTCTGGGAGCACTTATTCCTACATCATAGTGCAGAAATCTGTTCCTGTCATAAATCTGACTGGAGCATTATCCATCCACTGTAGGTTATTGCAGTAGTCTGGTTGTGTCATGGCACAGTTGGCTCCCAGAGAAGTATCTGGGAGTATCTCATCACAAGCAGGTGTTGACTATGCTCTTTCCTTCTGCTCTCTGCATTTGACTGTTACCTGGTTTGTGACATCTGCTGGAAACAAGCCCTTCCTTTGCCACTGAAGGGGCAAACCTGATCCTCCAGCTTCCTGAATTATATGTCCACAGCTCTTCATATCTGATTGGAAGCTGTGAGGAATGTGCTACTTATAAAGTAAACTAAAAGTTATTGGGGGATGAGGGTAACTTTTACTGATGTAAATGTTTTCTTCCTCTTTTCCCCCTTTTAAAGAAAAAAAGGTCTTTAACCACAAAGAGAGAAATTGCTCAGCTGAATAGCATAGAGAATGAACAGGGAAGTTTCTATGACTCCATATTTTTGAGGAGGAGAATAACGCCTCCAAATCATAGATAATTTTTTTTAAGTGAAGATCAGGTAAAAATAGTAACACTGAGCTGGGTTTTTTCTTTTGTTAAGGGCTGAAATTATATGAAAATACTTTTTTTATTGTTTTTGAGGGTTTTTTATTTAATAGGAGATTTCCAAGTATGGAATGAGCAGAGAATAAAGTGCCTGCCCTCCTGTACTACCCTGTCTCCTGTGTCAGTTCCAGAGGCGACAAGATGTAGCTCTATTAAGGTGAGAGGGATTCCTGGTCTTAGACTCTACAGGCTGGTAACTTCTGTGGAAAGGAAAGGTGGCATCTGATTATGGAGCTAACCAGGAACTCAAGAAACTTGGAATCAGTTTTTCTGCTCCTCTGGAAACTCATTCTAGGCTTTTAAGAAAAGGCTGGAATTTTGTATCTTTGGTGCAGGTGACCTGCATTACGCCTGCTTTTATTACCAAATGGTTGGGATAGAAGGAACGACTGTGAGATGATCGGAGACTTCACTGATGTATGAAAGCACATTAGATGACCATATTTCTACTTCTCCCCATCTACCACGTTCTAAGGGGTGGACAAATGAAAAGTACTTTCTTGCAGGTAGCCAGTCTAACCTGTTTCACAGCCTGTCCCTTCTTTTTTGTTCAGTACAAGGAAAAGTGAGATAATACTGTACTGTAATTGAGTCATTAAACATTGGCTTTTGAAGCCTTTCTTCTTGTAAGGATTACATGTTGGGAGGTGTCCGTGTGTCTAAGGTTCTCTGTGCTTTAAAGTTGGTCAAAGGTATGATTTCAGAAGAAATCTAAAAGGGTGAAAATACTGAAATTTTTCATTGGGTAGAAGAGGAGAAGGGTTGTCATTTGACATGTCAGACAAAAACTTGGAGAACTTCTGTGCCTTGACAATATTTCCTGACACGATGACATCTAGTATTCATTTCTGCTCTAATATTTTGAAATGTTTTGCTTTTACTCTTTTTGTTGTTCCATTACCCCACAAGGACTTTGATCTAGAACAGATCTTTCAATAAGTATCATAATATAAACTCCTAACAGCTTTCCATAAAGAAAAAACAGAAAACTGTTAACATCAAAATATGAAATGTAGTTACAGATATTTAGTTTTTTACTGTAACAAATTTGTATTTTAAATAATCACGCTGCCCCAAAAATCTTTTAGCAGAACTGAGCTCATAGTTGTTAATCAGAATATCTTATTTTTTTTTGTTTTTGTTGTTTGTAGAGATTTTTAATAGCCGTTCTAAAACACACTCTTGTGCTAGCCTGGCAGGAGTTAAAAGGCAGAACTGGGAAGGACATGGAGTTAAATGCATTGCAAGCTGCAATCCTGTTCCATATGTCTTCAGCGAGCTGAACCCAAGCATGCGAGTGTTCAAGCGTGTGGAGTTTTTGATCCGCTGCTTGCTAGCGATTTGCTTCCTGGCCTTTTTAGTGAAGTTCAGCTTCACCTTTCTGCAATCCTCAACTCACACATAAGGTTTTCTGAGCTGTTGCAGAGCTTTTTGATCCCATTTGGGGCTTTGGGATGTGCTTACAGCAGTGTATCATTATCTCTGTTGCCACATTCAGCCTGCGAACTTGCTTAATTGGAGCGAAAGCTACCACCAGTGCTGCAGAACTTCCTGGGCGCATGCAAAACAAGTAGGTGGTGAAGGAGAAGGGTGACAAGTCATAACTTCCGTTGCATGCAAGAGTTTGTTCACTGTCTTCTCCTTACTCTTTACCTCTCTTTTTGCAGCCAGGGCTAACATTAGGACCAGCTCAGAAAATGGTTGGCATCTTCTGCTTTCCTGTGTTCATGCTTTATAATGCCTGTTTGGGTTTTTTTTTTTCCCCCCTCTGATCTTGAACATGTCCAATATTAAATATGCATAGAATATTATTGAGTTATTGCTTATTTCTGGTAAAGCACCTACAGATTAACGAAGGTATGTTCTCTTTACTAGACAATCTGAGTTTCCAGGAGATGAGAGATAGGGAAAGGAGAGTGATGAACCTACACAGAAAAACATATGATTTGGAACAGGACAGTGATTGTCAGCACAAACTTCTGGAAGATATTGCCCTTTTGCTAGCATGCATGAAGTATTTGCTGTTGAAGACTACAGCTTTGGAAGAAGCAGCTTGGTCTCATACAGTGTTTGGTTTCTCGCACCTGAGTTTAGAGTGCAGAACAGGAAGGGAACTTAGTCTGGTACCTGACAGGGCAGGAGAGACGTTCACAAACAGAGGGCTAGCAGCTGAGCATGCCCACCCACGAGAAATGCGTACCCAGAGCTCAGTAGCTTGCAGTCTCATTCATGCTGCAGTTGCCTTGCTTCTCTGCCAGTGGGTGAGTGTGGCAGGGAAGGAATAATTTGTCAAATGCAAAACTGATATCATAATGAAAGGTCTTAACTTTGTTTAAAGTCAACAGAAGGTGTGGTATGAATGAGATGATTAAGAGGCTTTCCTAAATGCCTTTGGAATTCTAAAGTTGCATTGTTGCTTTATTTTTCTTCCGAATTTAGGAGGTGCGTGTAGGGGTGAAGATACCCTAAATGAACTGTATCTCTGTGTCTGGGAGCAGCTGGCAAGTGTAGGCCATGTTAAATGATAGGGTGAGGCTGGGCTCTTCATTCCTTGAAGTCACTGCAGTTTCTGACATCTTTCATTGGTTTTCAAGGGTCGGAGGCCAACTGAATTGCTTTTCTAAATGCTCAAATCCTGCCCCCCCCATGTTGTGCTCACCTATTTCACATGTTTAAAGTAGTCATAAAAATGACGATCCTGTAAAATGCTGTCTGTGATCTTCAAACTAAAGGATAGTCAGTAGCTTTGGGAAGCCAATTACATCTGTAGCCAGGGATGAACAGGGACTCAAGGGGCTTTTGTTTGTTCCTAACCCCATTCCCCTCCGTACACACTTCAGAAGGATCCTTTAGAACTCACTTAGCAGTATTGCTGTCTGACTCAGAAAAGTGGGATTCTGTCCTTTTAGCAAAGACATGTGTGCCATTCTTATCAAATAAATATTAATTTAGTATTCTTTCTTCATTGCATCTGGAGGCAGTTCACAAATGCTTGCTGCTCCCTTTAAGAACAACGTAACACAAGGCAAAGCTGAAGTATGGGGAAGAAGTGGAGAATCATAAGCTAATGATACATGGGTGTCCGAAGATGCAGAAAAGCATACCAGTATTTTTGACTACCCATATACCAGTTAAAAAAATCTATCTCAGTGACTTGACTGCAGGAACACTGGCAGCTTTTGGGGAGGGGGTGTGTGGGGGGTGTAGCATTGAAGTCTCTTTACTTGCAGCTCTTCTTACTTGCAGCTATGTCTGCTGAATCAGATTGGGTTTTATTTGTCATCTTTCTATTTTGTACTTAATAACCTCCTTTTGCATTCTGTTTTTAAACAAGAATAATTTTTTATTCTTTTTATATCATAGGCTTTCACAAGGTAATGGAAGGAATCCATAAAGCCACTGAACTTGGCTACCATCCTGTTAAGGTAAAGCCAGTTTTTATTTACTCTGGAGCTGTTGTGTTTTACCATAAATGGTGATAAAAGATACGGCTCACCTGATGAGGAATTTATGATTATTTTTTTTTCCCACTCTGTGAATAATTTTTGGTAAGACTGAGGAAAATTTTTAGTAGATCAAAGAGCACATCAAGAGGTGATGGGGGAAATTCATACTATCTCCTCATGCGGCTGAGGATACTGCTTCACTCCACCAACAAAGCCTATTGATTGCCTGGCTGCAGGGGGGTCCTGCTCTGTACTTGCCTCTTCCTACACCCTCTATTGATTTGGCACTTGTCTGACCCAGCTATGAACTTGGCCAAGGGAGTTAACAGGCAGAAAACTACCCCACAGAAAGACATTAATTTTCTCCTGGCTTACCTCCTTCAGCTACTTACAGCAGACTCTTGATGAATGCCAGTGTGAGAGAGAGCGGAAGTCCTCCTTTGGGGGTGCAGGTAGACAAACCTAGCTGTACCATGAAACTTCACTCTAACTCAGCTGTTTGTACATCTGCAGCCATGGTTCCCTTCAGTTTCACCAGTGCTTTGGGAGATATGTAAGTAAGTGGTTTAGGTTATAGAGCTAGGAAAAACACTTGAAATTAAGCTAGGTTTTAGGCTTTCCTGAAAGATCTTGAGAATCGTGACGCACGATGCTCAGACACAGAAGTCTGCCTTGCTAAGAGGGAGTGTTTTAGCAACTGCACAGTTATATGTTGCTCTTCAGATAAACCAGAGAGGACATGAGGCTCCAATGTAAATATTGTTCATGAGGAATGGGCAGAAAACTTGGTTTTAATGTCTTTTTGGAGGAAGGCAGAGCTAGTCATCCTGCAGCCTGTGGTTATGGAGTGTGCTGTGATGCTTCCTGGTCTGGGGCATTTGCCTGTCATCTGCCAAAGAGTGCTGTAGAAGGTACCCTGCCAGTACTTTTACAGAAGCCATACAATGTAGGGCTGGGGAGTGGAGTTGTCACTTTAGACAGTAAAAAAACTGCCGTACCTTAGGTGGGTAAGACAATGCCTTTGTTACCTGGCCTTTATTAGTTTTCCATTTAGCAAGGCAACTTTAACAACTTTAGTTAGATTGGATGCAAAAACTTACAGGCAAGTTTGGCAGAAATGATCACCTATACCGCTTCAATCCTGCCAACTTCTCTCATCATCTTTTCTTTCAAAAAAAAAGAAAAAGTAGTTCTATCTACCATGCCTTCTGCAAGGACTATGAAACCTTGTGTAAGAGGGAAGAAAGTCATACTCTGTTCACTAATTTCAGGTGTATGCTTTTCCTGCAGGTAAACTGTGTGGTGATGCGAGGCTTCAATGAGGATGAACTGCTGGGCTTTGTGGATTTCACAAAGGATCTGCCCCTTGATGTGCGGTTCATAGAATACATGCCCTTTGATGGTAAGCAGTCCTGCTTTGAGGGTCTTCATGGCATGGAGTATGCCTTGGACATAGGTGAATCTGGTTATTCACCCTGTGGGCTTGCCTCTGGAAGTTTTGGTGAGCTGTTTTTGAGAATTAGGAATTGCCTTCGGTTTTATGTTGTATCTTTTGCAGCTTATCTGTCTTCCCTGGATAAGCTGGAGAAGCATTAGTAGTGGGATTAGTTGGGGCTGGGACACCTACAGGGAAAACTGAGATTTGTGAACAATGTAAAGGTGGTTCTCTGCTAATTAAAAAAATAAAATCCACAGTCTAAAGTTATGCTGGTTTTGTTAATTTTAGGCAATAAATGGAACTTCAAGAAGATGGTGAGCTACAAAGAAATGCTTGATACAATTAAACAGCGATGGCCTGAATTGGAGAAATTGCCCTGTGAAGCTTCCAGCACAGCCAAGGTAGGGTTAGACAAAGAACATGTGAAATGGGGCCCCATTCTTTTCCTGCTCTAAACTCTAAATTCTCCCAAGTTCAACATTTATATCTGACAAGCAAAGTAAAAAATACTCAGTGTAGCAGTAACTCTAGGATTTTTGGTCAAGCTGCCTTCATGTGGTTTGACTCTTAACTGGTCATAGTCTTTACCTTTAGAAATACAATGTGTTTACTAGATGCCTCGGTCAGATATAAAGAATGACATGTTTGCGTCCTGTACTTACAGCTTTTGAAACTTTTGTCAGTCTGTGTCTATCTATGACTGCACATTAACAAGCCTGATGAAACAGCTGTTTGGTGAAATAGCAGTATTGCTTTGGCAATCTATGGCTCATGGCTGCCGGAGTAAGAACATGCCTACTGACATCACCTGTCAGTTGATAACTACAAAATCAAACATTTAAAAAGTTTGTGGATTTCCAGGAACAGGACAGAATAGGCTGGAACCCCTGGCAAAGCTGATTTTGCTTTTTTCTCTCGTGCGACCTTATAACTAAAGAAAATCTGTGTTAAAAATGTCTTCTGGTCTTCGGGCAAGTGGAGCTTTAAAAACGAGGAATCTGTATTTGACTCTTCTCTTCTCCTCTGCATTTTTTTAGAGTTACAAGGTGCCACATTTCCAGGGACAAATCAGCTTTATCACCTCCATGTCGGAGCACTTCTGCGGATCCTGCAATCGGCTGAGGATAACAGCAGATGGGAACCTAAAGGTTGGTAGTGAAACATGATTCTCTTTGCTCTCATGCAGTGAAAGTAGTGTTGAAATTCTTCCCTCAAAAAAGTAGCTGGGACGTATATTTACCAGCTAACGCCAGTTTATCTATCCTGTATGTATTCTTGTTCAAGCTTGTTGGGCTGTTAAGGAGATGTTACATCACCTTTTTTTGGTTTCTCTGTTTTGCTAACATAGTTAACTTCGGTTGTAAAACATGGTCACAAGACCAGTAAATATAAACATTTATTTTAATCTTTGATTCAAAATCATCTCAAACATGTGACAAGCAGATGATTTTCCATTAAAAAAGGATCCAAGCAGCTGTGAGGCCTTGGCTTTTGTGTTCCATAAGGATCCTGTCTTGTTTCACCAAACATCTTGCAACTCTTCTCCTTCAAGAGCAGCCTGTACATTTGCTCAATGGCTGTAGAAAAGGGAGGGATAACCATTTCCTGCCACATTGAAACTGGCAGTTTCTGGGGGAAAATGAAAGTTTTCAATTAAAAATGGGCATTTACACATTGTCACCTGATGTTGACAGCAGTTGTGCTGCTGTCTCATGTCAGATGACTGAGGTAGCCTGAAGGCCCAATGAGCTTTGGTTACATCCACATCCCAGGCTGTCCATGTGTGGAGAGATGAAGAAGATAATCTCCATAAACGTTCTCTTTCTTCAGTAGGATAGGCCTCTTCAAAACTCTTTACTCTGAGGTTAGTACGAAATACTCGTAAAAGCCATTTATTTTATTCTTTCTCATTTTTCCTCTTTTCTTTCCTTGGGTTGGCTGCAGGTGTGCCTTTTTGGGAATTCAGAAGTGTCCTTAAGAGATCACCTACGGTCGGGTGCCTCAGAGGAAGAGCTGGTTCAAATCATTGGAGCAGCGGTGGGCAGAAAAAAGAAACAGCATGCTGGTATGTATGTTTGTACCTGAGAAATAACAGCAGCGACTTGGGAAAACAATGTCCTGATACTGCTGTGGGATGCACTGACTTGCCAGGAAAGAGAAAGAAGGAAAAGCTTCTTGAATGTATCTGCATTAACTAAGGAAAGAATTGTCCCAGCTGATAAAAGTATTGTCTGGTAGAAAGCTGGTAACATACCAGTCCTGCAGTTACTCCAAAATTCGCGTGTCAGTTTTGAGTCTCTAACCTTGCACATGAGCTAGAATCCAGACTGCCTAAAAGTCTTTCAGACTGACACTTGTCTTCAAAGAGATGCAAATACCACTGCTTACAATAACAACTGCAAAGCGTAAAGCTAAGCAAAAATTGATGGAGTTGTACTGGATCCCTTTTCTCTTAAAATTAGTTTGCTGTAAAATAAGTACTAAAGCTAAACTGAGCTGTCGGTCCAACTACTGCATTAACACGTTTCTAGAAGTGACAAATCTCTCTTTGAGTATGCAGAAATTTGTAGCCACTCATCTGGTGCTCTGCATAAGGTCCTTGATGATGCAGTCAGATTCTCAGGTTGTATTGGTCTTTTCTTAATTTATATTGATATAAACTATATTTCAGTCACATCTGAACCTAACCATATTTTTGTAATCTGGCTGCAGCTGGGAATGCTGACCTCTTGTACATAAGCTGGCTTCACAATTATGGAATAGTCCCTTTTACGCTAAAAATACACTTTGGCCCTTTTGTTCTTTTGCAGATTCTGCCAGATTACTAACAGTTGGTTTTTCCTTTTTGTCATGATCTGTAAAACAAATTTAAAGGAAGCTTTTAAATCTGAGCATAGCCTAACTTGCAAAGTACTTTGGCCTGACCCAGATAAAATAGTGCCTTTTAAACATACAGGAAGGAGTGGAGGGATTGGTTCCTTTTCTTTTAGACCACTCATTTCTGAATTTCTGATTTGGGAAGGGGGAGGGAGGGACAGAGAGTGTTTTCCCCTCTAGTAAAGGCATTTTGCCATCAGCAGCATTTACCTGACATTGTCTGTCTTCTTCCAATTTGTGTTAATCGCAGTATTGTCCTTAGGGCCTTCTGTGATTGGACTTCTTTGAACTGGAACACTGTTAACAGCTTATCCACAGAACTAGTACAGTTAAACGCTCTTGTTAAGAAACAAGATAGTCCCAAGTTGTTTTCAATTCTGTAGTAGGTAGACTGTAATTCAGATTATGGAAAGCTTTCTGCTAAACAGTTCTACAGTGTGATAGACCCATAGCAGCTGGATGCTTGGAGACTGTGGCAGCTATGGTTTTAAGAAATACCACGCTAGATTCCCCTTCTTCCAGCTCCCTCGGTCTTTATTGAGCTTTGATTTTTCCTAGCATGCAGGTTGCACTGTGCTAAATATATAAACCAGATGCATGACTTAAAACCTAAAAAGCTAGGATTTTTATGTGTTCCTTATTTTATTTCTAGGCATGTTTAACATTTCCCAGATGAAAAACCGGCCAATGATCCTGATCGGTGGGTGACAAATCAGTACGTAATAAACATACCATGATTTTGTTTGGTTTCTGTCTGTGGGGGAGCAGAGTGGATTGGGTTTTTAAGTCTAACCTGTGTTTGGTTGTGGTTTAGGTTTAGGCAAAGAAATGGGTTTCTTAAAAGGCAGTTGTGGTTAAAATTATGCTGAAGTGGAAGAGAAAGTTTTAACTAAGCCTTACCCAATCTGACTGACAGCACCGTTCTTGTTTTCTTTAATTTTGAAAGTTTGTTACATTTTCCAAAGGGATCACTAATTTTCCTGTCTTATTTCCTATCCGCTTCCTTTGTACTTAGCAAGAATTGTATAGTAACTAATAAGGCAGTTTGGGGTGAATTTTATGAAATTGACCAAATTGCCATATAAACATAAAGGATGCAGGGTGGACTTTTATTCCTTGATTAAGAAATTCGACTTTCATTATAATATATAGAGCCAGTAACCTGACAGAAATGCAAGTTTTCTTACCTCACTACTTTCTTTACTGCAGAATCTGAAACTGGGGGTTTCATTCTTTTGACAAGTCCTCTTGCTGCTGCAAGGTCTCAGGACATAAGCATGAAAACTGTAGTATCTGGCCAGCCTTTTGGGCAAGAGCCTTTCTTTTCCTTGTTGTGTCTGTTGAAGGTGTTTGCTAACTCTCCCTTCCACTTGAAGCTCTCTCCACAAGTGATGTGGCACTGCTAGGGTTCTCTTACCTATTTTTCATATCTCCTTTAGTGTGGTTTTACCTCCTCCATGCCTATGTTTCCCAGCTATCTTCCCAAACTTTTCTTCCTTAGCCTTAAGAAATGCTTGCAAGAGTTGGCATTGTGAGATTAATTGGAAGTTGTTCCTTATCAACAAGGGAGAGAAAAATTCAACAAGGGTGGCAGTGGTGAACATGAAGTTTCACACCCAAACTCTCACCCTCCCATTGATGCTCTGGAACAGGTTAGCTGCTGTGCAGCTTAAAACACAGGTACTCTTGGGGAGGGCAAGATGCAGTAATTGGCAGGTCTTGGCTACAGGTGATATAATAACTGCTCTTTTTACAACCAAGACCCTAGTGCTTGTGCCTATGTTGCCTTTATTAGGAAGTAGGATCTACAGAGCTCTTTCTTTTTACATAGGTTTTCACTGGGAGTATTTTTCACTTGGTGCCCCCCCTTTAAAGGGCCATCACTTTCCATGTTGATTTTTAAAGTGAATGGATTCAGTGGTGCAAGATTGTCTCTCAGTTTGCTTTTGCTCTTTTGCATTTGGCCACTGCCATATTGTGTTAAAGTGTGCCTTTGTTTAAAGTGTGTATTGACTTGCTGCATGCCAGGAAAAGGGAAAAGAGGACCCTTTGTTTAAAGTGTGTATTGACTTGCTGCATGAGGAAAAATTTTCTGGTTTTTTTTTTAAGATGAAAAATACTGTATTAAACTCTTGACAGCTCCGTGGGACTTACCTAATTTTTCAAGATGCCTTTGAAAGAATCCCTACACTCCAAAGTTAGCATTCATAGCAATATTTGGATGTCTACAGCTCAGATTGATCCAATTTCCTTTTGAAAAGTGTTTTAACATTGTCTGACAGACATTAAAAGAGGCAGCCTGTCCAGGTCCTCCCCCAGCTGTTCCGTGTCCCTTCGAGACATAACTGCTGGCAGTCACTGCATCAGTGGAGAGACTGGAGATGAGTGTAGAGTGTGGCACATGGGGAATCATTAGGAGATTTCCTAATTGTGTTTTGAATTACTTAAAAACTTCAAATAATGCTGGCACGCAAGCAGTCAGTGGGGGGTGTGTGTATGGAATTAATTTAATGAAACTTAATGAATGCTGTGGAAATCACTAACTGGTTTTGCTAGTCCCAGTAAGCCAAACCTGGCTTCTTCCCTGCATTGCTGGTGTCTGATCCATTGCTGTATGGTTTGTATCCTAGTGCCCTTAATCAAAATATTCCTTTTGGTAGGTTGTTCTCCTCATGGCTTCACTTCAGTTTAGGGAATTTCATCCTTAAATTAAGTATCTGCTGCCCTCTTTCCTCCCCTCTCTGAGATTGTGCTAGCTGGAAGCTAACACAATTAAGCTTCAGTTCAGTAATAGAATATAAGGAGATGCAGTTTGTCAGATGGTTTCACTTGTGTTATATATAGTGCTGTAGAAAACCTTTTTTTTTTTTTTTTTTTTTTTGAGTATATGAGCAACTTGGGTGAAAATAGAGATGACTAGGTACAACTTGAAGAAAGCATAGGTTGTTAGGAAAAACAAAGATGCTTTGCGCATACGTTACTGTCTGTTGTTGTCTTTTTACTTACCACTCTACTTGAGCAAACAGTACTTCTCTTCCTTGCTCCCGCCTGCATGTATTTACCCTGTGGAAGTAAGTACTTGTCTGCCTTTGCAGTCTAGCTTCTCCTGAAGACAAGACACATTGCCAGGGGTTTAGCTTCTGCTTCAAAGCTCCTCAAGGAATCCAGAAGAATGGAGTACTTTGAGTTCCTGAATTTTAAAAGGAATATTCAGTTTGGCCCCACTGTATAGAGAGAAAGGGAAAGAAAGGAGGAATAAGCACAATTTTCTGTGCTCTTCTAAAGCAGAGCAATGTAGCACTCAAAACATTTATGTCCATTTAATCCCATTCCTCAGAGGGTAAAACATATTGCTACTGAACTCACAGGAATCTTCGTTTTTAGTGGATAGGCCCTCAGCTGTAGATCAGAAAGGGCCTTTGCCTGAATTTTGATTATTGCAGTGATTTAAAAAAAAAATAAAATCATGAAATCTATGGTTGATTTAAGCTTTAGTAACGGGCAGTTTCAGATCAATGTTTGGAGGGTACTCTGAATGAAAAAGGTGCTAAGTGCATCAGTCTTGTTACAGCAGAGGCTGGGACTAACAAGGAAGAGATTGGTTGGTTTGTGTTTAAAAAAAAAAAGGGGGGGGGACAGGGGTACAACTGGTGCCTTGTCCACACTGTGTCTGTTCTTGTGGTGTGGATGGTCCAAGGTGATACCTGTAGGTACCTGGGCAGCAGAGGTAGCTCAGCAGGGTGCAGAGGGGCCAGGAAGCTACTTGGATTCACCTGCGGGCAGTCTGAAAACTCATAAGTAAGGATGTCCCTGAATACCAGAGCTACCAGAGGAGGTTACTGAGCAAAACCCAATTCCAAGTTTCTCAAAGCAGAGCAAAGAGAGCAGGAGCTCCAGCGAGAAACATGCTTATCAATGAGGCTATTAAAGTAGGGCTTCCTAGCCACTTACCTCTATGCTGCTTTCTCTTTACTTACAAAACAAATCACTTCTTTTATATGAAAAAGACTCCTTCTGTCTTGACACTTGGCATTTAGCCCTGTGCAAATGCCAAAACCAAGGGATTAAATGGTGAAAAGGGGCAGGAGGGCTTACTACCTCTCTGCCAGCTGGGAGCTCTGCCAGCTCGACTTGGAACGTACTTCTAAGCAGATTTAAAAATCTATCCGTCAATGAGGGGAGCGTGGTTTTTCCAGTGCTTAAACTTCAGCTGTCATTAATGTGGTAAGAGCTGGCAGTAAGTTCCCATCACAGAGCCACGCTCTGAGCTTGTAGTCAGTGCAGTTGCAGACGTGGTGCTTCTGGTCCCTACCAAGGGTAGGGTACACACCAAGCGCTGGTGTGACCCTTCGCTGCAGGAAGGAAGGTGTTTGGAAAGATGGAGTTGGGAATCTGAGTGCAAGAATTTCCTATTAACCTTGCCAGGCTTTTGAAAGACTGGTCCTCGGACCATCTCAAATGGATGCTGAGATGCTGTGACTTGCTCTTCTTCAGAACTGATGTTCCTATAAGCTTTCCTGGCTGCTGTTTCTCAATAAGCATTGATGCTTTTCGAAAGCAAGTTGTTTCTTCTTGTCAGGGACCTTGAAATAAGTGGTTTGAGTCTTGGGATTTGTAATAACAAAGTAGCAAACACAGAGAACTGATGAGAGAGAAGAGAAAGAGCTTGAGGAGAAAAGTGGATGTTCGCAGGCTTGTTGAGGTTTTCACAATACAGAAAGTCCCAAGCAGTGCTCTGACAGGGTTCTCCGCTACTGCAGACTTAGCTTAGCTTTCCAGTTAGTAAGATGTATTCTCATGTTACTTTTTTTTCCCCCCCCCAGAGTCTGCGTTGATGTCATTCCCACTATGCCAAGATGCCCTGCAGAATCCCCCAAATTCGAAACAGTGGGGCCACACATTTAGCCATTGGCTGACTTTGAGAGCAAGTTTACCCAAACAAATGGGAAACGCATTAATGAAAAATAAGCTTACAGGACAACTTTTCCTGCCAGGATCTCACCCAGAGCAACAGTGGCACATAACAACAGGAATTCCACAAACCCAGCTCAGAGGTTGCTGTGTCTTCCAGAAGGACCCAAGCTCCGCATTTGACACGAAGTGCCTTGAGGCTTCTCCTGTTGGCCAAGTTTCTACAGACCGTCAGTCCGAAGAGGCAAGTTCAGGATCTGAATTCTGTACCGGGGCTTCAGACTCTTGTACCGAGGTACCTTGTGCCTCTGACAACTTGACTCACACCGATGAGGAAGGACGGGCCACAATGGTAGATGTTGGAGGGAAGCCAGATTCAAGAAGAAGTGCAGTTGCTGGTGCTGTGGTTCGCCTGGGTGAGAAGGCATTTGGGATGGTGAGGCAGAACCAGATGAAAAAAGGTGATGTGCTGGCAGTAGCCCAGATTGCAGGAATTCAGGGAGCCAAGCTGACCAGCCAGTTGATCCCGTTGTGTCACAACATTGCCCTCAACCATGTTGAGGTGTCTCTGAGCCTGGATGAGGCCAGATACGCAGTGGTCATTCGCAGCTCCTGTCAGACCTGGGGGAGGACAGGTGTGGAGATGGAAGCTCTCACAGCTGCCAGCCTGGCTGCCCTGACTGTGTATGACATGTGCAAAGCTGTTACTCATGACATTGTGATTGAAGAGGTGAAGTTGCTTAGGAAGGCAGGCGGACAGAGGGGAGACTTCTCAAGGGTCTAGATCATACCCAGACACCTCCAGCCCTCCAGGTGACCCTGCTCATGTTCAGCCTCTTACAGAGCTACTTTTGCTCAGCTGGTAGGCTTGGATACCACAACCCTACAGCTCCAGTTTTGCCTTACCCGGTCAGCTTACTGCTGGGTAAACAGTGGAGCCACTTATCCCTGTTGATAACCATCTATGTTTTTTAGAGGACAGAATTCTTCATTCTGCCAATGCCTTCATTTCAGTGTCCTCACCGTGAGCTTGAGCAAAGATTCCTAGTTGTACCATAGAGGTGTTTTGTTTTTCTTTTTTTCCTACTTGCTGTGAAATATTCACAGCTGCTGTCATCACACCATGCAACTGTGAGCTCTGGAAATGAAGCGAGTGCTGAAAATGGTGTTATTTGGCAACTATTTTCAAGTCAAGGATTAAGACTTCAGAATTCTGTCTGTCCCTCTGCCCCCCTTAGTTGAATTTAGAAGGTGATAGTAAGAACATAGCTTGGCTTACCTTACCATACAGCAGAGATTATAACTGTGGAACAGCCAGGGTCAGAGGGGCAGCTCCCATCTCTTTGCATTGCTACTGCTTCCCTTGCCTGCAAGTGGGAAATATCCACGTATCTGTTTCAAAAGAAAAAAAAAAAAAAAAAAAAAAAAAAAAGGCAGCTGCCCAGCTCTCTGCCTTGAGCGCTCTCTGGGTTTGGAAGAATTATTTTGCTGATCTGAAAGATACCTTTTACAATATTAGAAGCATGTTTCCAGCATTTTGACCTTAGCACTCAAAATACACTGAGGCATTGTGTCTGCATGCTTAAGGGCTTAATTATGCCACGCGCAGAAGTAAGTGTCAGCTCTCCCTGATTTTAGAAATAGATGTCAAGCCCCAGAAGACTCCCAGTTTTTTAATCCTACAGCGCAGCTCCTAGTAACCAGCAACCTGCGTAGTCCTGACAGATAAAACAAAAACTTTAAGACTAGTTGCCACTTGGAAGAGTAAGGTAGCTGCTGTTGCCTCAGCCAGAGTGTTTTCCTGCATGTTCTTCTAATTTGCTTTCACAAAGTCTTCTGGCCTCAGAGCACTTACATGTCCCCATAAATGTACCCATGGCCACTGTCATGTAGCATTAAATCGCTTTGATAACTGACTATCCTAGATAAGAAATTACTCAACGTTGCTTTGTTAATATTGATGTTAATTTATGTGCTCTAAACAGGGTATTATTTTCAACTTTGGTTTACTTGTTTTCTAGTGCTTATGGCTAATGTGAAGTCGCATATGATTCAGGGTGCTCCCTCTCCATACGCACAGAGTTGAAGACAACTCTCATAACATCAAAGAGGCTACCGAAGGAGTGTCTTAAACTTTGCAAGTAGCTGCTTCTCATGAAGTAAGGTTAAATTACTGTGAGCATCAGTAAAGCACACACCACGCTGTCACGCACATCCTGCTCACTGACTTAAAGTCTAAGATGAGGAGGCAATAAGTTTTACTACAAATGTCTGTTTATCCTTTACAAATCTCATATACTAGCTACAAGTCTCATAGACTAGCTACCACAGAAGGCACTTTTTCCACTAAAGGTGAATTAATTTGATTCTTTATTCATCATCACTGTGAGATAAGGCACATACACTGACAGGCATAGCAGCTGCAGCTGAAAGGGGAAGGAGTCTGGAAAGCTTGGAGCCCAAACTCCATAAACATTTGTACACCTACATTCAGCATCACAGTCCCGATGCCCGTGATATCACGGATCTCTCTGTAAGTTAACAACAGTAGGGGCACTCCTGTTCCTTCCCAGGAGCGTACCCAGCCCTGCACTCAGCACCCTGCAAATATGAGAGACCTTGTTCATCTGTGGAGCTGCTGTGCTGGTAGCGCAGATGTTTCCCTAGCTCAGCATGGAAACAAAAGTGCCAGGAAAAGGAAGCACGTGTGTAACCTGCTAAGTTAACAGATTTACACAAGCACTTCACTCACCACCACCACCACGCACAACACACCCTGCCCTCCCTTCACCCACTCTCTACATAGTTTTGAAAACTAAAAGGAAACTAGATGTACTCAGCAGTAATGAAATGATGCTTTGGGGCATATGATTGTTTGGCTTCTGAGAAGCTTGCTGTCATGCCATAAAGCTCACACAAAGGACTCGAGACCATACAAGGAACTACAGAGCACACGCACGACTGCCACGCACATCTTACCACTTACGCACATTTCACTCCTTTCTTGGGTTGAGAGTGGCTGGAAGCTTTGGGCAAACAGACACTGGTACCATTTTATGCTCGTGTTACACTATCAAGTTTTGAAACTGTGCACATTTATAGATAACGAACCAAGCATGAGTCAACAGAACATTTTGTGAGAGAAATGGGCTGATAGCACTGGATGTTTCAGTGGTGCTAGGTGGGCAATGGTGTAATACATGTTGACAAACTGACTACTTTTTTGAAGCTTGTTTTTTTTGTCCACTGCATTTTTAATAAATACTAATTGTGATGAAGTACTACTTTGAATACCCTTTCTATTCATTCAAAGAAACACCCATGTTATAATCCACAAGCTTCTATGAATAGTTAAGCAAGGACAAGCGACAAGACAGACTATAATTTGCAATGATTAGTCAGCAGTTAGCAAGGGACCAGTCACAGTAACTTATTACTATAAGGAATCTATTATTTCTTTTTTTGTTGAGTGAAACTCACCTCTGTCTATTCTTAAACTGAGTAATCCTGTAGGCTTAGCATCATAATTTATCATCTCTCATCATTATCCCAGCTTCTCCTGCGTGCCTGTTCTGAGTCAGTGGATGCGTAAAACAGCGCTGCTTTGTGGTGCAGAGTAGCATAAGGAACTGGGGCCTCCAGAGCTCTCTCCCTCTTTAGTCCAAGTGACCACACACTGAAACCGAGGTCTGGGGAAGCACCTGTGTAGAAGTCCGTCCCTCCTAAATCAGTAATAAGTCTAAGAGAAATGCCCCTTCTGATCCATCTGAGTTTCCAGGAAAGCTCTTGCCTCTTCTGCTATCCAGAAGGCCTGTTCCCACCTGAGGAGGTTTAGCTGGTTGAGCTGTTCCCATGCTCAGCCCCCAGGGAGCCAAGGGCCTCAGAGCAGCCAGTGCCCTGTGAGAGGGCAGGGGCTGGAGCTGTACTGCTAGAGGATCTCTCCAGATACAGCCTCCAAACGCTGCTGATCCTGGGACAATAGCTCAAAGCTTTACATCCTTTTTCTAGGCGCCGCTTCCTAATTTGGAACTAAGTTTTTGAAGATTTAACCAAAAGAAACAGTGTAAAGGAGTGAGCCCATCACCCCCCTCTCCTGAAGGGCATCGTAAGAGCACAAGTTGCACCTCTAACACCACGCGTGCTAAACACAACACAAATATTGCAGATCACGGCAACCCTCTCTCAACGCACGTGCAGCTTTTGTCCACTGGAAACTGTCACTCATCCCGGCTAGTGTCCCATTTGTGTGTTATTGTCTGTTCACTGCTAATCCAGCCGGCGTCTTTTGTGGCAGCCCGGCCTGTCTTTCCTTCGTGGCCACATCCTGAGGCTAGTCACCCCACCCTCAGACTGCCCTGGAAAAAACTGGATGCAGCATATAAAGGAGAAGCCAGCAGAAGCTAGTCACTAAGTATTCTTACAGAGATAAAATCCACATCAGAAAGCACTGGGGGAAGAAGCGTGAGGAATAAAGGGAAGATGCGGCTTGAAATACCTTAGGAAGGGACCTCTTCTTCCGACTGGGAACCACTCAAAAGCAGACTCTAAAAGCAATGACAGCTGAGCACTAAAAAGGGGAATGAATTTTTTAGCTATTCTAAGCTACTGGTGACCTGCAGTAATTCTCCTTAAGTCGCTCATGTTACTCAGCTTTACGTGGGGTTTGACTGAACAGAATCTGGCCCTTCATCCCATCCCTTCCTTGGCCCTTTGCTAGTTTGCAGCTCCTTCTGGCTGGCTCAGCAGCAGTTACACAGGCATATAACAGCTTAAAAATGGCTGTAACATTGTGTGTGCTTTGGCCAGGACACAGGGCTGCTAATTAGTTAAATGGAAACACAGTTCACCTCCCTCTGCTTACTGGAGCCATGCTCCAAGAGATGCTTAGCATTTCAGGGAACCTAAAAACAGTTGGAGGAGTCGCTGGCTGTAGTGGGCTGAGAAGGCTTTCGCTCTTTTGCGACTTCAGGTTAAAGCCTCAGCTTAGGTCTCAAAAGCCCGTGGATCTGAGGAGCGCTGCAAAGCCGCGAGGATGGCAGGCAAACCCCTGACACGTCTGGCACGCTCCCCAGAAAGGCACAGGGTGGAGCGGCCGAATCCCTTCTCATAGGCTGGGCCTGAAGGTCTTTGGGTGAGCTCAGTGCACCCTGTTGTAAGACCAGATTCTCATTTTGGCCACAAGAAGCTTATACAGTGGTAGCGGAGACACAAATCCAGCTCTCATCTCTGCTTTTCTGTCCCTCCATGCTGCCGGTGCCATGTTTAGAAAGCTTTCAGCTTAGCACCTCTATTTTTGTACTTACCCTGTTTGCTCCTTTGGGGAGCGATGGGTACTCAAAATAACAGTGGTGAAGCGCGGCTGAGTGCAAGTTTACCCGAAGGGCCAGGTGCCCTGAGACACTTCAAGCCTTGCTCTGAGCAGAGCTGTGCGACAAACGGGGCATCACCCAGCTTCATGTTCACAGCCCAACTGCAATGGCATGGCCGCGGCCATCGGGCAAGCTGCCTAGTGTCCGCAGGTCTCCGAGGAGCCATCCACCCAACACTTGCTCCGTGGAACAAAGCTTTGCACTTAATTATTGCTTGTGGGTTGCTCCAACACCCCAAATTAGCAACAGCGTGACAGGGACAACTGCTTCATCAGAGAGAACATGGAGTTTATCCTCAGATTCTGGAGAACCTGCTCAAACCCAGAAACTCTCAGTACTACCATGCTGTTCCTGCAGGGATTTAGTCTTTAAATAAATGGAGCAGGAATCCTCTCTTCTACACCCATGATACTTCCAGGGTGCACAGCTGGAAAGACACAAGGCCAGCAAAAGCAAAGTTTCTAGTTCCAACGTCAAGGGCAGCTTGGCTGCAGTGTGACAGGAGTGACAGGAGGCAGGGGAGGAAGAGGAGGAGACAGCAGAAAGGTCAGGCAACCGTAAAGTTGTGTTAATATTATGCTTGGAAAAATAACACATGCCATCAGATACACAGCCGCTCCGTTAGTCCTGCCCTAGGCCAGTTACCAGCTGGTGCACGTCTTGGCATCGCTCCATCAACATCAGCAGAGTGGTGCTGCGTCGCACCAGGCAGAGACCTGGCCGGTGGCATCTGCTCCTGCAGGCCTGGGAGAGAGGGGGTTCAGCCACACAGCTCTGACCCACCACTACTGCCACTCGCCAAGGCCTTAATCAACTCCCATGTCATTAAGGGGGTCATCCCCAGCTGCCACCCACAGCCTCTGCTCTTCCAAGAGCTGCGCTTCCCCGCCCTGGGCCTGACGCTGAATGGAAATGTTTTAGCTCTGTGTGGCTCATTTGGCTTCTGCAGATCAACTCCCGGGGCCATCCTCAGCCCAGATCCAAGAAATGAGCTGAGCTGAGGGAAGGGAATAATTTCTGCTGCCCCCGAAGCCTCATCTCTCCTATTGCAGCTGGCAGCTTGAAAGGCTCCGTCCTGCCAAGACTGAATCTTAATTGGGATCAGTGGAAAAGACAAGCTGCTGCCAGGGCCAATCCAATCCCAGGCTTATAGAGAACACGGGCAGAGCTTGCCCACCCCCACAGGAGAGGGTCTTCACTAGGGTTTACAAAAAATAAAATAAAATTCCCTCCAGGCCTGTGGTATCAGTGGAAGCAGCAGGCTGAGGCCAGGGAGGAGGGGAGATGGCTTAGCCAGGTAGTTTGCAGAGGAGAACCAGGCAGAACCACACCACATGGAAAATCCTCCCGCCCTTGCAGCCCATGGGGAGGGGAGGTCACCAGCAAGGCCAAGGGGCAGCTGGAAATCCCCAGGCCCTCCAGTGAATCCAAACACTCCAACCAGCCCTCAACAAACACACAAAACTATCAGAGTCTTGCCCAGAAATGCTCCTCCCAAGGGCTTCAGGAAAAAGGACAAGATAGTCTTGTCTTCTCATGACAGAAAGACCAGAGCAAAACTTCTTCAAGCACCCTGCCTGCATGTGGCACCAGGATGCTACATGATGCTTTTACCAAGTCACAGACACCTATTTCAAGCCCGCTCGCCTCGAAGACAGTTGCCAGAGCTCACTCCTAACTCCTCGAGTAAGCACAGTCTAACCACCCCTTTGGCTTTGAGGAGGCACCCAGAAGTATTACTGCCAACTCCTAATGAACCCAAGATGGATGCTCCTGACGATTTCCTTATAAGCACAGTGTCCTGTCATCTCAGCCACCAACTTGTCCCTGCAGCAGCAGCAGCAACGTGCAGTGGGAGCGAAGCAAAACAAGCAGCCAGCAGGCTGGGTAATTTTGACACCATATATTCCATCTTGCAGATTTAGGTGCATCTTTGAAGTTCCTACATCAGAGAAGTCCACCTTGGTAAGGTCTTGCTCAGACTGGGAGCTTTAGAAGAGCTCGCCTTGCTGACTCTGGGACAGGGTTACCAGCAGCTTATGCAACAGATGCCATGCAGGCGTCTCGGAGCTGCTGGACCTGAGCAGTGAAAATGGGCTCTTGCTCTGGTAAAATGGCTTTAATGGGATTTTCCAGCCAGCAAACACGCTTTGACAGACACACCCAGGACATTTCAGCCATAAGCAACACAACTGCATGCAGAAGGCTCTTGGCCAGCCAGACTGGGAGGGGTATTTAAACACAAGTTTCTTGCATTCATCTTTATAGCCTGCTATTTCCCTCCCAGCTCGCTGAGGATGCCTCAGAACACATCCCTCTGGGATGTCCTAGATGCAGCAAAGGCAAGACCAGTAACACTTAGCCCATCGCCAGTAAACCGCAGCTTTTGCAAACCTACGCCAGAGAACTCTAGCTGAACCCCAGCAGCTGGAGGGGTTTTCATTTCCACTTCTCCAAGGCTGGTATTTCAAGGTGTTTTTATTTCTTTTTAATCAATGCACATGGCCAGCTCCGGAGGGGGCTGAAGGAGGGGAGGGAGGCGTTGCAGCCACTGTATCTGTACAAAGTAGTTCCACATGCAAGCGAAATGGAGCTCGAATCGCTCAGTGCGTGTTTTGCAGTGCGGTTATAGGCCATGATTCCACCTCCACAAAGCTGTGATTTATTTACTTAAAGACTTGCATTCCGTGGAAAAAGATGCCCCAAGATAGCACTGTGTTGCTAAAATTAAACCCAGCTGGCTGGAGTGGGGAGCAAGCGAGAGAGCACTCCTGCGTTCCCACCAGCAGCGGGAGCAGGGCTCCCCATGTCCTGGACTCCCCCACCCTCACCGAGCTGCAGGAGAGCCGAGCAAAACGCCCCCTGTGTCCTCAGCCAAGAGGGAGGCAGCTCTCCAGG